CCCACCCCCGGCTGTGGCACCCTACAACCCCCTCTCCTTTCCTCCAGGCTGACAGTGGGGCTCCTACCAGAGAGCAGAACCACCATCTCCAGCCCCGGGCCCCTCCTCCACACAGCACATAGTATGTGCTCATTAAGGGCCTACTGAATTCATGTCTTAAAAAAAAGTTATGCTTCCTGATTCCAGAGCCCTGATGTGATGAGCGATGCTGACGTAAGAGACAACGCTATAAGGATTTAGAAGGAAACAGGAATGTGATATTCAACTCGTCATTGTCATCAGCAGTGTGGCCATCAGCAGGAAGGACACCCCAGTTCCCAAGTTCCTAAGCGGGACTGGTCTCAAATCTGAGGGGAGCCGGGAAGATTCTTTTTAAATTGCCTTTACCCCCACCCACCCCTGGCCATAGACATGCTTGGATCTGACCTTCCACAAAAGCCGTTTAATTTCTTGGCAAGAGGGTGTCATTGTGAAACATGCCCCAGAGACGGGCCGAGGCCACAGGACCCACCGAGGTGTCACTGAGTCCTGGCTCCACAAAGCCTTCAGCGATTGGGGAACTCACTTCCCTCCTCACCCCATCATCCAGGCCTGGCCTGGAGACAAGAGGCACGTGGCAAAAAGCAAGCCAGGGCCTCCCTGCCCGGGCCCCTCCTGCCGCCCAGCTTCCCAAGAATATACTCGGATCCCAAAAGCAGGTCCTAAGCTCATTCTCATCAGCAGGGGTCTGTAACCTGGGCCTACAGGGGGACTAGGAGTCCCCATCTTGGAGGCAAGACCTTTTTTGGGCAACTGTGCATTTCTAGAGGAGCTGGTGAGTGGTTTGTGGGCCAGAAAGAAGCTGAGAACTCCTGGATTTGAGTCAGGCGCTTCAGGGAGAGGGGTGTGGGAGAGGGCACTGCTTGATCCAAATCGGAGAGGGAGGGAAATAGGGGTGCTTGTCGGTGGCATTTCAGAGACTGGCCAGAGCTACCTCGGGGCACAGGGAAGGAGTGGATGGAGCCGATGAGCGGCCCCAGGTGGGTTCAGAGGACAAGAGTGGGGGAAGGGTGCCGGTCCCCTGGCTGAGACCCACAAACACTGCCACCCCCAGCAAGGCAGAAGGAAGGACTGCCCCCTTCCAGGCTGCTCTGACCCCCCTGATCAATGCTACTGAGTCAGGGAAATCCTTGGGGGGCAGGCTTCCTGGTGGATCTGCCCACTGCCTACTTAGAGGATTAAAATTCTGCCCCACCCCGACGTCCCCTCACCAGGTGCAAATCCGACACCCCGTTCAGGGCTATGCTGAGCCCGGCTGCCGCCCGCCCCAGGCCCACCTGCTGACCCACCTTTCTCGCACAGCCCTTTCGCGTAGAAGTTGCACACAGCTGAGCTCGACTCTAGAAGGGGAGAAGGGGAGAGAGAGGACAGCTTCCCCAGAGGGTCTTCGACCATCAGCAAGTCCCCAGGAACCTCCCCAAAGGCCCCCACGTCCTGCCTTTGGCTGCTGGCCTCTAGAACCAGCCTCCAAGCCTCAACACCTAGCCCCCCAAGTCTGCAACAGCGGCCGTGCAGGGGCCCGAGACCAGCCCGGGAGCTGGGGAGCCAGCCCTATTTTCCTGGAGTCCCGCACAAGATGTAAGAGGGGAGACCCGAGCCCCTGAGAAGAGAGGGGCTAAGCTGGGATTCCCAGGCTGTGGGCCCGAGCCCCCAGCTCAGCCCCCCTGGTGAGCAGCAGAGAGAAGGGGCAGCCAGCAGGATGCTGAGCAGAGAGGCCTGCAGAGAGGCTGGGGGGGAGGGAGGAAGGGGTGGCTCAGGGTCCCTGAGAGGGATGCTGGCACCGCCCTCACTCACTGTCCATGCCCTGGAAAGGCAGGAGTCCAGTGCCCTTTTGTGTCTCCACATCCCTCTCCAAGGTGAAGGTGAACCCCTCGAGCCCCGCAATGACCTCTTCCATCTCCCACCTCCTGCTGGGGCTGCTAAGAGCTGCTCCAGCCCCTACAGGTGGACCCTATAAAGCTCTGGCGGCCCTTAAAGGGCCAGGGTCTGATGCCAGGGGCCAGGTGACAGCCAGGGTACCCGCGGGCCCAGCTGTACTGCAGTGGGCCCAGCTGTCTGCCCCCTCCCACCCGGCGCAGGTGCAGCCGCCCGGGGCCCACACCCCCACACTGTCGTCGGTGGGTCCCATCCCAACGCGCCTGCTGGGGAGGGATAGCAGAGCCCCACACGCTGCTTATCTCTGCTTGTTCCCAAACCCACACACGGCATATGTACACACGTTACCAAGCCTGCGCTCATACTTCAAACATGAAGACACACAACCCGGGTTAGCAAGAGAAGTTGCACAAACCGACCACAGCCAGGCTGTTCCCGGTTCGCAGGAGCCTGAGAGCCAGAGGGTGTGGGGGCGGGGCGGGGGTGCAGAGGGACAGAGCCCCCACCCCACCGCCTCGCCCCTCCCTCTCGGGCTCCTGACACCCCTTTTCTGGCCCGAGTGGCAAGCGCAGAGTGAGCTCTTCATGGGAGAGGGGAAGAGAGACTGAAACTCAGAAGAATCGGAAATAGCTGGATGAATGGCGCTTTGTTTACCTCGCGCACAATCGCAGGCAGGGCGGGGGGTGGAACCAATCGGAGGCTGCAGCCTCCCCGCCACGAATCCGCTGGGCCACCCCAGAGCCTCCCCGCCCCTGAGAAAGTGCTTTGTAAACGAAATCTCTATGCAAATGTTAGTTTATTATTATTACGACACCCCTTTCCCCCCTGGCCTGGGGACATCTGAAAATGTTTTCAAAGGAGCTTTGTAGGGCTCTAACTAGGCCAGGCCTCCCCCTCCCCCTGCTCGGGCCCCCTCATTGGCCTTCCCTCTAACTGGAGCTGGTGTTCTCCAAGTCACATTGGGGACGATGCCCACAGAACCCAAATGCCCTGCTTCCCAGAGCAGCAGGGAGTGGTGGGCAGCGCCTTGCAGGTCCACAGCTGGGCCAACAAGCACGAGCCTGCTGGCTTTGTCTCCCCCGGGCTGTGACTCCTTGGTTGGTTGGTCTTTTGAACTCTGGATCAGAAAAGAAAGTAGATGGAGAGGTAGACACCTGGGGCCAGGCGAGGCAGGGACGGGCTGAGGGGGGGCGGGGGATCCAAGAGTTTCCAGAAGCTGGGGCCTCCCTCCAGCCACATTCCCAGGAAGGCAGAGGGCAAGCTGGAGGCT